CCACCTGGAAATCACCCAATATCCTCTTTGATTCCAAACAGGGATCATAATTTATAAACTGCCTGCTGTATTCGCTATGATTTGAAATTACCACCAAATATAGGGCCATTAGCAAGAATTTCAGATCTAAGGTTCCATACTGACTCCATGTTTCAGATCCATGGTTGTTTAAAGGTTATCGTTTATCGTTTTAAGTGTTTTTTTGACTGGATCAGCCATGCAGATTGTGTTTTGATAAGTTTTGATTCAAAACATCACCATTACCCAGATTACAGCAAAGGGCTGGAGACAGATCACAAATGAAAACTGAAAACTCTAGAGTGCAAGAAAACTAGAAATGATAAACAGAATTAAGAGAATGATAATCTGTGTTTTTGCACCATTATTTTTATGCTTTAAGTAGTATATTTATATATTGACCTATATATTTATTGTAATAAAAGTCTATTAATTATATTTCAAACATACAATATATATGCAGGACTTGGGTTTTTCTTTATTAAAATCATAAATGGTTTGTGTATATGTGTGTGCGTATATTTTGTATACATATTAGATGCCAAACGTGAGTTGTATCCTTTTTTAAGATTCAACATTTTAGAAGTTTATTGTCATATACACCGCAAAACAAAAATGGTTACGCTGAGCAATGAAATGCTTACTTTGCATGTTCCCTTCACACAAATAAATAAACAACTAACTAAAATAAATAAATAAATGAACTTATCTCTAAGCATAGAAAAATAATAAATAAATAATGACGAGTGGCATTTAATGACAATAAATTTAATCTAATCTAATCTAAAGACATATTTCAAATAAACTGTGAGCTGTGTGGTGGAAGTCAAAGCAATAATCTAAAAATAGATTATAAAATGTAATTAATTAAGACTTTTAAAGGTGAAACCTCATTTTCAGTCTATTTTCTGAAGGTTTGCTTCCATCTGCTGGTCAGTTTTTAGTTTCTTGCTCAGTGAAGCAAGTTTTAGTTTCAGCCTAAGTGGAGTAAAAGCATGAAGAAAACAGTGAAGAAAGTGTGTTACTGCAGAGAAAAAGGAGAAATGTTCATGTTTCACAGCTGGTTATACCTGCTTTGCTAGCTAACAGGAGCAGCAGTAACCATGTTTTTGTGTCTTACTCATGGCTGCATTTGTTTATTTCATGCAGTACAGTGCATCTGTATCAACGTGGGTGAGGTAAACTGGGTGTGTATAAAATAATGAATTCATTACTAATGAAATATTCCATGAAATAGGTGTTTCTATCGAAATGTCTATAATTAATTAAGGATATTTTATTTTGTATGGATTTTGGTGCTCCTTGTTAAAGCACTGGCAAATCTCTGTATCACAATCAAAAAGATCCTATTCAGTTCCTTTTTGAACAACCAGGACAAAAGTAAACTGGATTATTGGATCATTTGTATCTGGATTACGTCAAGAGGTTACGTGCAGGGTACGGGTTAAGTTAAGGTTAACTTAGGAGTGTGGTTGTGAGGCTGCACATAGCCACGTCTGCGTGATGTAAAACTATGAAGAGAATCCACGGGTAGTGGGAGAAATTCACCTTTAGAAGAAATGCTTTAAGAAGTCAGGTGAAGAAAACAGGATGTTTTGGTTGAAGAAATGATTAAAAACAAGAGGTAGACGTTTGAGTCCTCTGTTAAACCAACTGTAAGTACTGCTTTTAAATAAAATTGTTATTTGCCCCTTGGTTAGGTTTAGACAACACAACCCGGTAAGCTTTACCACAAAATGTGGCTTAAATTCAACTCAGTTCAATTCAGTTTTATTTATATAGCCGAAAATTACAACAGTCACTTCAGGGCATTGTAAGACAAACACCCTACAACACAAGTTTGGGTTCTAATAAACCATATCACAACATTAGCAGACCAGCGAATAACAAAACAGAGAACCAGTCATAGAGATCTGATTTCAGAAACAAATCTGACCTCCATCTTTAGACTTCTTTAGGCAAAAACAATAGGGACATGAGTGAGGACACTGGGTTTTTGTGCGTCTGCGGTGACAGTGTTACTTACCTGTAGCTTTCTCCTACTGAGTTGTTAATTGTTTCCTGGACCTGTGTAAGGCTGTGGAGCGTGAAAAACCTGTACTGGAAGCACAGATCAGGGTGTGGCTGGCACGAAGAATAATTACTTCATCCTGTACGTCTGACAACCCCATCAAAAATTGCAGTTTGCATGAAACCTTGAGTAATTCCAGAAGATGTTCTGACTGGTTGTGAAACAAGCAGTTTGGATTTAGTTACACAACGCTTAAATGTGCCACACCAACAACAGCAGAGTGTCCCACAAAGATTAAAGTCTGCTCCAGGCTGTGTTGTTACTAACTCCACCTTCAGCTACAGCCTTCCAATACTGCAGTGTTCACAGTTTAATGGAACAAGACTTTGGCGGTGCAGAATAACTGGTGCTTTATTTCAAGTCCTATGCATCATCCCCAGACTTTGCTTTCAGTATGGGAGGCATGTCAGGGGGATTCAGGAGATCCTGACAGTGTTCTTTCTACCACCTGACGTCAGCAGCACATCACCCCCATTGCACACAGTGTGAAAGAGTATCGCTTCCTCCTGAGTCACCTGATGGTTTGCCAAAATCAATTTGAGGCCAACTGAAAGTCTTGCTCCATGTCCTAGTCAAACTCCTCCCACACCTGAGTTTTTGCTTCTGACACTGCCAGAGCTGTGCTCCGCTTCGCCTGCCGGTAACCGTGAGCTGCCTCCAGAGTCCCACAGGTTAACCAAGCCTGACAGCTTGACAGGCTCAGGCACTACCTCCATGACCAGCACCAATAACTTTGAAGCTGCAGTACTATTATGCAGAACATAGATCAAACAAGCCCATCAGAACCTAAGGTCCCTTCGACAGGTGATGAACCGACAAGAAGGTGAACCCATGTAGCTGTTATGGGGCCCACAGGCTAAAGCCAGGCCAACAGACACTTACCCTCTATCCCCTATCCTGAGATTGACTTGGAGTGGGACCCATGGGTGTTTTCTCAATAGTTTATTGTCAGGACCAATTTGCCTTAGGAGACCCTACCAGGGGTAAATTAGCCCTGACAACAAACCTCCTGAAATCACTGGAACGCACAAAGCTCTCTCACACAATAAGGTGGTGATTCACTGAGATTTTGTCTCAAAATCTTTGTTTTTTCTTACATACAGCTCCAATATCTTACAATTTCAAGGTAATTGGTGGCTGTAGCTCAGGTGGCAGAGCAGGTCAGCCACTAATCAGAAGGTTGGTGGTTTGATCCCAGGCTGCCTGGTGGTGGTCAGAGGGTGCGGTGGTGCCAGTGTCTGGCAGCCTTGCCTCTGTCAGTGTGCCCCAGGGCAGCTGTGTCTACAATGTAGCTTGCCACCACCAGTGTGTGAATGACTGAATGTAGTGTAAAGTGCTTTGGAGTCCTTAGGGACTAAGTAAAGCGCTATACAAATACGGGCCATTTACCATTTTAATTGTTCATAATTTCTTGCTTTTATTTGAGCCTAAATATTTCACAATGAAAACATTAAATAAGGTTGCAGCTGCTCTCATGTCACAAGAGGTCACCAAACAGGTTTCCTACAGAGTTTAAGGCATGATCGGCTTTCTGAGTCACCGTAAAGTGGATTTATGTTTCCAGCTGCACTCAAGCCTGCAATTTTTCACATGCCAAACAAATATAAAAAGCACCTCACTATGGAGCAAATATATAAGTTAAAATACAAAAATGCTGAAAGATTAAAACAGTGGTTACTATGCAGCAATCTGCAATCATTTTTTCTGATTGTCTTTATTTAAATTTATCCAAAAGGGCAAATTATTCAGAATCTCAGCACAACCTTACACAACTTAGACTTCAGTGGAATAAAGTAGAATCTGAGAATAATCTGTAAAAATCATGCTTGTTTTTCCTCTTTTTAGACTTTAACATCAGTAAATGGATGACTTTACAAAATCAGGGCTGCGTGTCTTCGTCTCTCTGCAACCAAACAGAAAAAGGATCCCTGCTGGGAATCACCTACACCCTCACTAGGAACTGCTGCAACGCCGACCAATGTAATGGAGCTTCATCTGCCCACCTTCCTCTCGCCGCTGCATTGGGCGCATGCCTGGCAGCAGTCTGGAGCCTGTGGGCCTTCTGAAGCCAAAAACAAGCAGCAAAAATAAAAACTGTTTTCTTCTTTCCCAAAAGGTTGATTGTGTTCATCTGGAAGTAGCATTTTCAGTGGGAGAAACTTTGCGTCACTCATTCAAGTGACTTCTTCAGTCTAAGCTGACTGCATGTTTCCCCAATCTTATAAACAGTACCTTTGCACAATGACTGAAACTGTCACCACTGAATGAGCAATGTGCTATGAGGTCGATTCATTGATCATTCATATGTAAATTCCCATGACCATTGATCAACAACCACTCATCAAAGCCCATGGATCATTGATCAAAGACCACTGATCAATGGCCATGAGTACCATTCACAGAGAGTTGGGGAATGGCTACGTCCAGATGAACAGTCAATCTTTTGGGATTTACTTAACTGGATGATTGAGCATGCATCAAGACATAACTTCTTCTTTGTTTTTAATGCAGGGTTTTGTTTTGTTTCTTTACTTTGTTCATTGACTAAACTTCTGTATTCTGTGTAGAATATCTGTTTTACTGCACCTATGATGTAGCGCAGGAAATGAGTGAATACACAATAGAAAAGATGTAATTAGTATTAACAGTTAGCATTTTAAAGTCCATGAAATCTGATGAACAAATATTAAAAGGTGTTTATGCTCCGAATTATCTTTTGAGAAAATGATTTTAATCTTTTCCTGTGAATGCTTGTGACATTTTAGATAATTGGCTGGAGAGTTGCTGTTGGAACAAAAAAACCTGATAAACTACATTCCTGCATATTCCTTTTAAGTCAAGCCATTGTTTAAATGTTGCAAATTGTTTTCTTTAAATTCACCTGACACACGCACACATAACGCCTACCTAACCTAGTTATTTTAAGACGACTTGTGTGAATGATGAATAATTTTTGGAAAGCGACAATTGTCTTGGGTGCCTTCATCGCAGCAGGTAAGTTACAGAAAGCATCAAAATTAGAAGGTTGGGTTTATTTTAGCAAATGCTGGATTCCCAAACAGTTTTTAAAATCCCCGTAACATCACAGCATAATATTTCAGTTTTTATTTTTGATTTTGGACCAGAGACCACCAGCAGTCCCAGGAAACTCAAAACATCCTAAATTTAAGAATTAAAGTAAGAAAATAGATGACTTATATTGACTATGAGTGTTATGATGATTTCTGACATGAGGTTCAGTTCTGCGGTGGTGATCGCAGGGGATGATCGTTCAGCTCTTTAATGGCAATTTAGCGTGGGTGTGGGTATGTGTGTGTGCGTGTGTGGTTCAGTCTTATGGACGCACACTCTCATTGAACCCAAATAAACTGCTCCTAAGCATAACTTGTGATTCACACTGCCTCCATGAACACCATTTTTCATCCCAGTCAAACATTACTCACAAAACGACCGCGCCCTCTAGTGGCGAGGCAGAAAACTGCATCACAGTCCTGCCTTCAGAACAATGCGATAATTATGATTATATGATTATTAGGTTCACATTAAAAAAGAAAATATGCCCTGTGTAGAGGAGTCACGAAACAAATTAATCAGCTGTCTTATCGTGTCTCGTGATTCAGCATACATCCTCTTTACTGCACTGATATCTGCACATCTGTCCACTGCCAGCTATTTCATTTTGTAAAAGTCTGACCAGCCCCTCCAAGTTTGTGTGGTTTTTCTTTCCTTCTGACCAGATCTGGCTTTCTGCGTCATCCCTTGAGCATAAATGTACTTGTCAACGCATTGTTTCTATGTCCTAAAAGAGAAATATTTCACATTGTAACTAATACTTAGCGCCCGGTGGCGCCAGTGTCCGGCAGCCTCGCCTCTGTCAGTGAGCCCCAGGGCGGCTGTGGCTACAATGTAGCTTGCCATCACCAGTGTGTGAATGTGTGTGTGAATGGGTGGATGACTGGTTGTGTAAAGCACTTTGGGGTCCTTAGGGACTGGTAAAGCGCTATACAAATACAGGCCATTTACTTATGATCCCTCTGCTGTTTTTTCCCCACTTCACAGCACAATGCCTGACCTGTCGTCAGTGTCCCATTGGCATCTTTGGAACATGCTTCC